AAATTACTGGTTAAGCAATAAAAATTAATAAAAATAAAAAGAACAGTTACGCTTTCAGGCTTCGCTGACGCCTTCATTGCTTTTTTGTGTTATCCGAAGTACGAGTTAAAACATTAAAAAAAAAGCAATGTTACTCTATTCTTTTGCCTTAAATAACTAAAATTAAAATCAGGGCAATTTGACGGTTGCCCCCGGAGGGCCGTGCAGGCGTCAAATTAGCGGAGCGGCACCTGATTTTATATAACAAAAAAAGCTCTAGTCACCTGCATCGGAGATTTCTTTTGCTCATTTATCGGCTGCCGGCATTCTCGGCAATCTGAACCATATGAAGGGAGATACTAACGGGAGGGATGCCGTATTGACAGGGAAACAGGGCCGTGATATGGGACGGGTCGCACGGGGAAACGGGCGAGACCGCATCTGGTGATGAGCAAGGAGAGACCACGGACGGTACAGCATGACGGGACGAGATATCACATTCACCACTCCCAGACCATCACTCCGGTTCCGCTCCGAGTGACAGAAACGTGGGTTTGTCATATCTTACCTTTGCCTTTGGTGACACAGAGTCTGTGGTACTCGGATGGCAGAGGAGAGGCTGGCAACGATACTCCGGACGGCAGCCATAGTTTGTTCACATCCGCTCCCTGGTATGAAATCTGCGACGAAATGAGGTGGCAGTCGTGCTCCCACGCGGTTAGGCACACGCCCCGTTCATCAGAGCACTTCGCCGTACAACACGTGGCGGTTTCCGGTTAATCTGCCCGAAATTTCCTCGGGGCCACCCAAATGGGCGGGATCTGGCGTGGCGTCTTTCCTCGGGCCGCGTACTCTCGAGACATCGCCGTCTCGGCCTTTTCCTCCGCCCTTGGCCAGGCCTGACAGATCTCCTAGTTCTCATTCCCACCCAGTGCATAAACTCATATATAGGATATTTGATTACGCCGCAAGACAGTGGCCTAGGCGCATGGCATTCTAAGAAACGGAACTCGCTTTACGCGGAAAATTCCGTGAGGAGTTGGGATTTGGCCGGCGGGGACCGAGTCCCGGACCGCCCGTCTAAATCACGGATAGGGAGTGGCAGCCTCGCCGGTGACGTGGAGCAGGGCTCGAGGACCACATGAGCAAAGAGGAACACGGCCTTGCTGCCTGGCGATAAACTTTCGGCCTGGGGCTGGCTAGCGGCCTAAAGCTGGGCCACAAGTCACCAGCAACTGGTGAGGCGATGGGGCTAGAACGTGAGGGCAAGGTGTCACACGCCGATGAGTATTTTCTTCATTTTTATGCGTGTGTAGCATTAAATGCCCCAGTACAGCCCTCATGACCTGCAGACGCGCGCGCACCGCCAGCCTGTATTACTGTGTGACCCGCCCCGGTGCTGCTTTTGAGTCTTTGACGTCTTGCCCTTATTGTTTGCTGCACAACAGGAGCCTGACCAACCGCTCTGCATGCCATGCATCAAATGTATCTATCCGAAATACCAGGTTCAGTAGACAGTCGGAAAGTGCAGCAGGTCGGAGGATCTGCGGGCAGTCCTTGAGAGCTCAATACACAAGTAGAACCGGAGAAGAATTCCTGAAAGAACACACTCGATGTGATTAAACCTGGGTCCCAAAAGAGGGTGCTGCTCATCGATGGGGGATCGTTTCACATTCCTTTGCGGTGTGATGGCGAAGGAGCGCAAGGATGGGGATCTGGGCCTGAAAGCTAGGGAGATACCTTGCGATGGGTTCCCTCAAAAGCACAAGTTTCTCGGTGGGAGAACAGCAAGAATAGCTCGAGTAATATAAATCCTCTATAACCTGATAGCTACTAGTTGAGAAGAGATAATCACTCCCCGGCCACGTCAGTGAGGGCTAGGCTAGCACTGTGGTAAATCTCGGCTCCAGTAGCAGCCAATGACATCCATTGTTGCCCTACCCTTGAGGTCTGTCTCTCCCATAGCCTTGCCGCTCCATGCCGTGGGCACGCGCAACTAGAGGGCGGAACTTGGCCCTCAAAGCTGCGCATCTAAAAAGCCACGACTATCCGACGCAGGATCTTGCCATTTCTTTCGATAGTCGTAGCGTTGGCCTTCTTTGTGGTGTCAGTTTTCCCTGCTGCACTGGTATTGTTCTCGGTCGCGGCGCGGGCACCCTCGATAACCCCCATAGTCCCCTTTCCCTTGGCTATGGCAGCCAGCCCGCCTTTTGAGCCACCGGCCTGCACCTGGCAGGCTTTCAATGCCGGGCCGCGCCTTCCGCGAGGCGGAGCGCCGGGCTTGGCGGCGGCCGTTCCCTTGCCTTTGCCATTGCCAGCGGCTGGCAAGGTTCCGGAAGAGCCTTCCGACTCTTTGGCTGGGGCAGACAGGGGTTTCTCGCCCTTGGCCAGCGGTCTTTGGCGCTGTGTGCCAGCGACTTTCGGGGTTCGAGGTGAGATGTCGCCGGCGTTCTCCCCATAATAGGCGTAGCATGTGCCGTCCCCACCCCGCATTAGCCGTTGGCCGTCGTCTCCCTCTACGAGCTGGGAGACAATGCCGCCCAGATCGATGACAAACCATGGCTCACTGACCCCCACTGCGCGCTGAAAAGGACGAGAATGAAGGATTCCCACATTGCCGTCTTCTGGGAGCGACGAAGTATTCGAAAAGAACGTCAGATCGGCCATATCCTTGCCGGAGCCTTGATCGCTACCCCCGCTCCCGGGGCTCTGGTTTCCTTGGCTACCACTCCCGCCGCTTCGGCGGCCTGAATTTCCCTCGCTTCCCTCGCTGGCGGAGCTACCGAAAGTGGTATCGTCGTTCAAGTCATACCGGGGGGCGGGGGGCGTTAAGAGCTTCCGACTTCTTTAATATGCCCTTTTTCTCGGGGAAAAACTGCTGGCCATCGTTCACGCATTGCGTGGTTCGTAGGCACCAATCCTGAGCCATGGTTGCCGTGTTGTGGAGCCTCAGCGATAGCGTGTCGCCTTTTGGAAGCTTGTAGACTCCACTAACTATGCCACCCTGTGCTATTGTGATGTAGAGATGTCATTTAGCAAGTATGTCTACGTAGAGTCGAACAGCAAAGACCTGAACTCACCACGTTGCTGAGCGAGCGGTACCATCCGGAGAGACGTTGGCATACCATTCCATTCCGGCCCGCCGAATGGTGAGTCCGCGAACGGATACTCATCTGGAGAGGTGCTTACAGCGTCTCCCCACTGTCCGTATTTGGTCTGGCTTGCTTGATGACCCTAATCCGTCTGGTGCTTGTTTCCACCCCGCGGATCGCTGCCGCCAACAGGAAGGGAGCGCTGGTGCCCCATGCAGTTGACTGCCTAGCAATAATTGGCGCAGATGTCCTTCATCTTGGAGCAGTCCCAATCAACCGTGACTGTTCTAGGCTTGGATTGGTGCAGAATCAAGAAGGGAGATGGCGGTGGAGGTTGGCATGGCGGTAGGGCGGATGGGCAAGGATATCATAGCGAGGTATCGTAAATGTAGGGGAAGATGAGGGTATGGTGGTGGTGTTGTTGTTGTTGTTATTCTTGCTGTTGCTGCTGCTTTTGGGGGCATCAGAACTTCATGATGCTTCTTCAGCGCGTTTCTACCAGCGCCATTGGAGCCAAACTTTATATGATATATAATGACTTCGAGTACAGAGAGGAGCACCAACGACTAGGAGCCTCACAAGTGTTGTGCTGTTGATGGAAATCCATGATATCGCACTGTTAGGAATTTAATGCCTGTAAGGGATGAGCAGCCTAGGTGGGGGCGGCTTGCACGATTGCTCTATTAGGTGACAAAAAGAATGACAATGGCAAACAAGCAGCAACTACAGGTAGCTGCATCGGTTGGCGGCAGCACTGGATAGGTCATACTCCCGTCAAAATTTGCTTCTCCCGAATCCGAGATTGTGGGAAAGCTGCACAATAAGAACACCAACGCACCCGGACGAATAAAGCGACTGCAGCCCAATCTTCGATTGCGACCGCACATAAGGCTGTTACGTGAACGGCGTGGCTCGTAGAGAGTGTCAGCATGTCCCAGTCTCGAGCCACATCGTGAATTACTGTGGTACTAAATGAGTGTCGTTGGTTTGTAATGCAGAATACCACCTGCCCACCAAAACACTCTAGAGCTGGAAGCTAGCCGAGGGGGCTCGCCCTGACGAGGGCCCCCTGAGATGCGCTGATGAGCCCTTGTATAGACTGGCCCATATGAACGCCTCGCTCAGCAGCAACTCAATGTCCTTCTCCGTCCATCCCCTCGTAGGGAGCGACTGGAGAAACATCATGATCTCCTGAAAGTCCATATTTATCAGCTTGGCCGACCACTTGACCAAGAAAGCTGCGCAAACGTAGAGGTGGAACTCTGAAAAGCCGTTCTCCTCGGCCTGAGGATGGATTCCGACCATGATTAGCGCTTCGCCCATACAGGAAACAAGACGAAGAGATAGGGTGTTGCTCACCATATAAGTGTCCCACATTCTGATGGTGTTCTTGACGCTGATCTCCCTCATCAGCAGGCAATTCATCCACCTGAAGCTGAACTGTATGAACTCGACATTCTCGGCCTCCAGATGCTTGGCCAGCTGCTTGTCTATCCTCGCCGTTAGGTCTCGCAGCGCAGTCACCTGACGCTGGATTCCTGGCTGAGCCACGATGTAGTGGTCTTGGATGCCGTCCAGCAGCTTGGTGAGGCACCAGAAGGTGTCGGCCTCGACGGCATCTAGCACGGCGCGCGGCAGCTGGCCTGGGTCCATGCCGCTCTCGATATCTGGGTCCGTGATGTACGTGCCCAGAAAGACCTGCCAAAAGGGCGTCACGAGGTCGTTGATCCCCTGCACGTAGCCACTAGCCGGGTGCCGCACCGCCCAGACATATAGTATCCTCTCGAGCGACCGCTGAGTCGCTTCGTAGCCGTAGAGCTCGATGTGAGGGTTGGTGCGCGGCACGTCGATGCTGATCTGGTGCCAAATCGCCTCGTCCAGGCCCCTGCCTCCCCTCCCGGGGGTTGCCGGGGCCACGGCCGGGGTCGCCGCCTGGCCCTTGCTCCCTCCTTCGTCGTTGCCCCCCGAACTAGAGCCTCCCCGGTCGAATGCCTGGCGAACGCCGTCGAGGTATTCCTTGCGTTTTCTCTCAAGCGTCGTGACCCGCCGCTCGCTGCTCGCGGGGAGGTAGCTCAGCAACAGCTGCCACGTCATGGCGCGCACCTCCTCGGGAACGCCAGACCAAGCGAGTTCCCGCAGGTCCGGAAGTTGGATCGTCGAGGCCTGCAATAATTTTTTAAACTTGTTTATCCTCGTTATTCGTGAGCTCGCTGCGTCTAGCTCTTTGGGTGTGGCGTTTGGCGGCGTAGGGGGGTGGCTGATGAGATGAAGCGCGTTGGCGGGATCCCTCAGTATGTCCTTGTACTGTGGTCTTAGTATCTTGCCCTCGCTCTTTTTTGGCATGGGATATCCCAGTGCCGGCCTCTCGATCGCTATGTCACCAGTGTCCTCAAACTGGATGCCCAGGCCCCCACCGGACGAACCAGTATGTGCCTCGTCCTTGGCTTGCGCCGCCGCCGCCCTCCTGTTCTTCCTCTTCATGTTGGAGAGGCTTGGAAGTCCAAAGTCATCGCCATCGTCATCTGCGTAATCATCGTACATGTCGTCGCCCTCGTCCATCTTCCAGTCTTCGTTTGTCCTCGAGAGAAAGTTGACGTATGATTTGATAGGTGGAGATCCTAGACCCGAGGGGGGCCTGGACCCAGGTGATGTGACGATGGGCTTGGGAGCCTTCGCGGTGGCCGAAGGCGGCGAGTGCGGCCGCGGCGAGGAGCTAGATGCGCTGCGCGAGCCGGATACGTTTCTTGACGAAAGAGAACAAAAAGACAGCCAAGAATCAGCAAACAGATGAGGCTAGAGGAAGGGGGCGCCAAGACACGCACAACGACTCAAGCTTCAGCATGTCGGCGTGCGAGTAGGCGGCGCCGATGACCTTGGCGCCATCGCGGCCGGATTTCGAGGGGGACCTCTGCGGTTGCCTCCAGAAAGGGGAGGCGCTCCTGGTGAGTGGTCAGCCTGAGCCCCGGAAGAGACGACTGTCACAACAGCACATACTCTGTCCTTTCTGCAGACCCGAGACCGTTGACGGTGGGTTAGCGCTCAATCCCATCTCACTTCGAAGTCGCTGGCCGGGAGGATTGCTGCAAAAGGACACAGGCGCGCCCGCCTTGCTTTCGACGTACCGACCTGCACCATCTCCTGCTCGCGGCGTCAGCCAGATATGCCGGGGGATCGTCACAGGGGTGGCTTGTTGACATGGCGGAACCTTACCTGCGGAGGGGCCTTCTTGCTACTCCCTGAGGAGGAAAACATGGCGGGATTTGGAGAGGGTGCGCTGCGCCTCTCTCGCTCTGCTGCTTGGGGTATCTGGATCGATGTGCTGTAGGGTGGCCTGCTCTTATGACGGATGCATTGCGGCAGGGCCTTGCGGTCCGATGGAGCAGCCTTCTCCAATGCCGGACGTTTGGCGGCTTTCACATCAAGGTCGCGAAGGCCAGCTCCGCCCGCCCACGACCAACCGACCGCCCCTCCTCATTCTGGCGGCTGGGGCCAGCAAACTGCACACCACCACAACACCCCACGTTAGCCCGGTTTAGAAATTTGTGGGGCGTAAGGCGGGCGCGTTTGCCCAGGCGTGCCACACCTAAAGTGTTGATACCTCAGGCACCAACCGTTTTCGCCAGCTCCCGGCCGCCCGGCAAGAAGCGCGGGCCACAGCCTTGATTGGAGCAGCCGTGCAGAGCGATTTGGATTTGGTCATGTAGCGAACCTGACTATCAATCACTACCTCCCATTCAAACAACCCGACGCCACTCCCAGCCCTCGAACCCGAACGAAATCACCGTCAAGATGGCGTAAGTCACTCCCGCCGACACGAAGCTCCCTCGATCCTCAACGCACGTCGCCGACGCCGCGCTCAATCACCCTCAATGGCGACCCGACCGAAAATCATACGATGGGGGAAATGGAAAAATCGCGGGTGGGAGCGTGGGAGAGAGAAAGAGAGCTTTGGGGCTGACTAGAGCGGGGGTCTCAGTTTTGTCAACGCGAAGAACAAGGTGCCCGAGTACCAGCGCTTCTACCAGGCGCAATACCGGAACCACGTGCGCCTCTGGAAGATCGTGAGTCTTGCCCACCCTGGCCGCGGCTAGTGCGACACGACGTCACCGAGGCGCAACGCTCTGCATAGCGCCCATCTGCATTGGGAGCAAACAACAAGCAGGATAGAAGGCTCACACAGGCCGTGATACCATCTCGCAGCACCCCAGGAGCAAGTTCCTGCTCACCCCCTTCCTCATCGCCATGTGGGGAACCTTCGGCCGTATGTTGAACCCGAATCGACTCCCCGCTTCCCTGATTTCTCTCACGGGCACCAGCGCTGACTTTGGAGCCTTTAGTGAGCATGTGGGGTCTTGGTCGGAAGGCTGCGGGCTACAACTCCTACTGGGGCAAGGAGTAGAGAGACTATATAGTCTTGAGGGTCGTGATGTGGCGACGGAGGAGCGTCTCGAGCCATCTAGTAACGGTGTGGTCCATATGCATTCAAGAATGGTGGGGCCACCGTCTTGATAGACAGGATGATTTCAGTTGGCTCATGCAATACGTTCATCTGTGCCATTTCACGTATGAATCCAGGGGTTCAATCACCTTGACCTCGACTCTATTTCGCAAAGTCGCGTTTACGCACAGGCACGTGGTTTACCTGCCCGGCCAATGCGATCCCGAAGGTCTCATGCTGCTTGTATAAATATCCCCATGTCTCCTCATTATTTGACTAGAAAAAGCACCTGGAGTGGATCCGGGATGTGCGATTTGAGTGACGCCCGCATGCCAGACTCAGTGCTCCCGCCTCGCTGGTTGAGAGCCACGCAGCTCCAGAACACAGTACACACATACACCGGCGGTCAGCAGCACCAGTTCGCTCCAAGGATGTACCGGGTGCGGCAGTATCCCCCACAGCCTGACAACCCGGATAAAAAGGCACTTGTTAAACCTGTCCCTGCCTGACGCCCCCAAGTTTTGCGATTTAATATACGCGGACCTGCCAACCGGGGTCTTGCGAGCGTGTAGCCACCGCCTTGCAACACCGGCCAGAGAAAATATGAAACGAGTGCAAGCGGTATCAGTACCCCTCGGCGCCGGGTGCCTTTTCGTCCTTGCGCAGGCTGACGAGCAGCTCGCGGAAGCGCTCCTTGCCGGAGCCTGCGGCGCCGCCCTTGGAGCCCTTGCCGCTGACGTCGACAATCTTGGCGATGCGCTCCCAGCTGGTGCCGCCCGAGGTGGTGTCGTCGCGCGAGGCCAGGAACTGCTCCGCGTCCTTGCGCGTGGCCGCGATGGTCTTGTCCTTCTTTGTGTTGTAGTTCTCGTAGAAGTCGTCGATGTTCTGCTGCGCCTCCTTGACGGTCTCGACCCGCTGCTGCGCAAACTGCTCGGCCCGCTTGGCGATCTGTTCGTCCCGCTTCTCCCGCCACTCCTTGACCACCTCGGGCTCCTCCTCCTCCTCCGTGTACGCGCCGAAGCCCGAGTTGTAGCTGACCGAGGGGCCGGTGATGGTGCCGCTCGCTCCCAGTCCCTGCTTTGGTTGAGCCGAATGTTAGGATTGGGCAAACAGAGGCGCGCCGACTGCGCATCCAGGTGGTGTTTCCTCCACCGGCATATCTTAGTCCGTGGAAAAACCGGCGCGGATTGACGTACCTCGCCGGGGCTTGTTAGGTCTGGGAACTGGCTCTCGAACTGAGCACCTCCCGAGTCGCCGCCGCCGCCGCCGCCGAGCAGATCGTCGTCGTCATCGCCGCCGTCCTCGACAGTCGCAAACTGGTTGGCGTCCTCGCCCAGAATCGCTTTCTCGCGCGCTAGAAAGTCGCCGGCTGACGGGTCTTCTGACGATGTCTTGATGTCGGTTTGAACTAAGTAAAAAGAAACAGGAATGACAGTTAGCCAGTGCATCCGTGTTTTGCGCGGTCCTTGTCGGGACATATAATGGGGACCCTACCGCCTGAATCGAAGTCGTCGATGCTGGGAAACCTGTCCGCCATCTTGAAGCGCCTGGATGCAGATGGAAACCGGCGGTGTTTTTGATACGTTTGGGCCGCGCGGAGCTAGAGGGCGATCCTGCCGAAGCTGCCGTCTCGTTTGGGAGCGCAATCGGGGTATGGACGGGTGTTGATGGTTGAGATCGGAGACTGGAGTGAGGCTATGCGATCGCTATTGTTTGCATGTGCAGCACGAATCTATCTGTTCATTCAACCACTCAAACAGCCCAACCCAATATGGAGCTGGCGCGCCGTCAAGGTACGTACCTGGCCGCGGAGTTGTCAAGGGGTTGCTCGGTGGGCCGGACCCGTAGTTTATGCGATTAAGCAGTATAAACTTTGAGAGGTGGGGATTTCTGGCAGTGGCTGGCCGTCCAGCTGCTCAGAAAAGCCAGGGCGATTGGCTCCCGGCAGTGGCACTGCAGCAAAACGAAGGCGCTGGATGGGAGTCTCGGTTCAGTGGTTAGTCGCATCTCAAGCGGCCCTCAAAAACCCACCGTGACCTGATCGAGCTCAGCAATTCCGACCCCCAAACAATCCCCAGCCTCTCTCCAGACCCAGGCCATCCAGGGCGCGGCTGCGACTGTCTGGTCGTATTTCTCACGGGCATCTCTGTTCAGGGGGCCTTGTCCTCTTGACGCGGGTATTGGATATTGTCAGCGACGGCGGGTGGAATCTCAATTGCGGATTTTGATGCACATAGATCGCAATCCTCATCTGGAATACTGCCCAGCAACGCTGTTGCTGACCTGTAAAAATCCGGTTGGAGGTTTGCCTGTCTTCTGGAGGTGAACATCCAAGCCCGCAACCGCCTCACCCCAGACCGCGGTCAATGCCGCTGAGGGTTTGCCTGGAGACAGCATTGGTCCTTGGGACGCTTGGGTCAGACAACAGCATCTCGTGGTGAGGGACCAGAGTGCTTGTCCTGTTCCCGAACCAGAACCTCGCAGCCCCAACAACCACCCACGCGCTTGTACCCATACATTTCAAATCCTTTCTTTCACCCATAACCACCTCGAAGCTGGTACCCCAAGCCCAGTCCAAACCGCAGCTTCTCCTGCGCATTTGACCGCAAAGCAGTTCCCGCGGCAAGATGGCGTACACCGACGACGCGGTTCTGGCCAAGCTGTCGGCGCTCAATGAGAGTCACGATAGCATCGCCACCGCAGCGCAATGGATCATGTTCCATCGGTGAGTGCCCCATTTCCCAATCGGCCTCCAGGATCACGGCTTGGCCGCAATGAGCAAAGCATACACGATCCAGCAATTGGCTGCGTCTGTATGGACGTCATCTGGATCTGGCTTCATTTTTTCTACAGGATTTTCATCGGACATATATATTTGTCACGGTGTTTTCATTCCTTTCCCAACTCACAAAAATGCACTTTTGCCAAGTGGTGTTGTGTTTGGCTTATTCGCATCGTTCCATTTTTTCTGCATATTTTCTACTCGATGGGTGGCTGCCTGTCGTTCGCATTTCTTGTGTGTAGACACGACAGGTCGAGAATGTTTGATGCAGTGGATTTTTGGAGCTTGCCATGCTGACCATTTGTTGTTGCTTCTTGGGCTGCCAGGCGTCATGCAGAGCGCACAGTACAGCTGTGGCTCAACAGACTAAAAGAGTCCCCCTCTGGCAAACGGCTGAACCTCGTTTATCTGGCCAACGGTGAGCTTGCCTGCAGTCCCCTCATCCCGTGACATGCGTCCTTCCCCAACCAGCCAGCAATAGGCGGCCTCATAGGACTGCACACTATGTCTTTCCTCGCATACGAGCTCTTGGTGTCGATACTGATCTGTTCGTCCATCGCAGAGGTCACCCAGCAATCCAAAGCGCGGCACCGCGATGACTTTGTCCATGCCTTCTCGCCCGTCATGGCTGACGCCGCGGCAACCGCCTACAAGGGCGCCTCGGCAGACATCCAAAACAAGCTCAGGCGTGTTGTGGATGTCTGGAGGGATCGCAACATCTTTGAGCCCGCCATCCAGAGTGCCGTCGAGGCCCGGCTTGACGGTAAGTTGCCTTGCACTCGTTCTCATGCATCCGTCATCCCTGGGTCTTGAAGCCACGAGTATCGCTCTAACAACCCACCTACATCGCGGTAGAGCTTGACAAAGCTAGAGGCGCTTCGAGAGCTGGCACCATCGGCGGCGTATCGTCTGCCCTAAGCGGCTCGGGCAGCCCTCTTCCAGCCGAGCTCAACGGGCTTGTCGCACCCCACCAAAGCGTGTCTAAGCAGCTGCTTCCAACAAAATCCGCCGTCAGCTCTGCCAACCAGGAGTACGAGAAGCTGACCAATCCGGCGAATCCCTTGCCGTCCCCGCCGGTCTACGCCGCCCGTCTCAACGGCCTGCTGAGGACTCTGGCCACCGCTGAGGGAGCGGTTGCCGAGTGCGTCAAGGCCCGCAAGGAGCTGATCGGCGCGCTCGAGAGCATCCTGACTTCTAACAAAGAGGCTCTCGATGCTGATGAGGTGCAGCTGGCTGAGCTGTCGGCGCGCAAGCAGAGCATTGATACCAAGAAGAACCAGGTTGAGCTTGCCATCATGTCGGGCCTCAGCGCGCACGACGACGGCTCACGCTCAGACAGGGCGGGCCCAGATGGCGCCGATGTGGGGCTTGCTAGGCCCAAGATCGAGGCCCTGACGCCACCTCCCGGCGGCGAGGCGGACGATGACGTTGACGCCGACGGCGCGCAGTTCGTCCCGCCACCGGTCAAGCCGCCAGAGGAGGCGGCGCCTGCAACCCACGTATCCCCACGCCAGTCGCCCATCGTGCCACAGCACACGACACCGTTCCAGCCCTCGTCGGCGCCCGGAATCGAGATGCTCTCCAACCTGGCGTCGCAGTACCAGTCCATACCTACCAACGGGTCTTCCAACAAGAGACGCCGTGTCGAGACGGGCGAAGACTTTCCCGACCTAGGCAACGACGACGGCATAGACGCAGACGTCAAAGAGATTCTTCGCAAGGACTCTATCAGTTCTTGATTTCTGCAGCCCGTCTGTGTGCCACGTATTCTTCATATTTTCTTCCCCGCCTTCCTTTCTTTGGGCGTGGCATCTTGTGCTGCCCTCCCTCCCTCTTACGCTTGCAAGCAACAGACTCCTCGGCAAATTAACATTTGCCTTTTCGGCCGAGAAAATCTCATTCAACGGGTCTTGTCGAGGCGGGAGTTCGTGGCATTTTAGATGTATATACTCACATTACTGTGTGTTGCTACGAGGTAATCAGGGGCCTGTGGTTCGGAATATCGATTGTTGAGAGTACGAGCAAGGGGAATGTCAGAGAACGAAGTATGCTAGCAGTCGGCCGCCGTGCCTGGCAGTTTTGTTGACGGGGCGGAGGTGAATGGCTGAATGCGTAGCGTTTCCTTCTTTTTTTTCTTTCCTTCTTTTAGCCTGGCTTTGAGCCTTCGTGGATTTCTTTGCCGCTTAGGCGCTCTATAGCTAATGACCGACTGCACTTGCATCTATCCAACGTTGGTTTGATTGTTTTTTTTTTTTTTTTTTTTTTTGCATACTGCTTTCCCATGGAATCTGTCACTTTTGTAGTATCCCTCGCCCCTTCTGTTTGCTTGTGATTTCTATTGTGCCCGGGGTTTGGGGTTTTCCCCAGCTGAGCTCCCTGTTATTGCTAGAGTGGTGGTGTGGGTGGGGTTCCAAGGTCGTCATCAATCAATTCCTACGCCTTTCGGAATTTCCTGGAATCTGTGACAGCTTTTACCCCAAAAATTCAATCCGCCCTCTCCGACGCGCGCCTCGATACCCTCCGCTGCGGCCATGAATCGAACAATCCGTCGGCATCTCCAGTGCTAAGGGGCTCCTAGCAGAGCCGTATTCTCCCCTTCAACGCCCTCCGTCATGGTTTCGGGAGCGGTGCGCCGCGCCGTGCTGCTCCCGCGCCGTGTTGGCGCCGGCCGTGGCCCAGCTCAATTGCACCCTCCGAGCACCCCCCCGCGGGGCCCAACCTCTGACACCCATGTCCGCACCAGAGGTGACTTTTCCAAGAGCCTGACGCCCGCCTCCCGTCTGCCGCCTCCGCGAGCGCCGGCCTTTGCGAGTACGCCCTCGATAGCAGGACTTTTCTTCAAACCCCCTCCCGCAGATGCCTTGACGGCCTTCGTCGGGCTGGGACGCCGCTGGGGCGCCCAGGCGGGCATCCTGAGGGGATTCTGCACAGGCCCAGCACTATATAGGCAGGTGGATGTAGATGTCACGTCTGCCAAGGGGCGGTCTGCGGCGCCCGCTCAGCCAGGCACCGCATCAAAGGCTGTTGCCGTTAGGGATGCGCAGGGCGGTGCGGTGGCAAAGAAGCCAGCAAACCCGGAGGCCGGCTCGGACGAGGAGCCGGGCCAGGTCGAGTTTGCCAAGAGCGAGAAGGCGCTCAAGGCGTCCCAGGTCAACATGCGTGCGCGGCTGTCTAAGGAGAGCAAGACCGGCCAGCCCACCAGGGCCGGCTGGGCCGAGATCTGGAGGCTGCTGAAGATCGCGCGGCCCGAACTCAAGTGGCTGGGCGTGGCCTTTGCCTTCCTTCTCATGTCGTCGGGCGTCACCATGTCGATCCCCTTCTCGGTCGGCCGCATCCTGGACCTCGCGACGCAGGGCAATGTCGAGGACACGCGCATCCTGGGCCTGACGATGACGCAGTTCTTTCTGGGCTTTGCTACGTTCCTGACGGTCGGCGCCGTTGCCAACTTTGGCCGCATCATCCTCCTCCGCATTGTGGGCGAGCGCGTGGTGGCGCGCCTGCGTTCGCAGCTGTACCGCCGCACCTATACGCAGGACGCCGAGTTCTTCGACGCGAACCGCGTCGGCGACCTCATCTCACGCCTCAGCTCCGACAGCGTCATTGTCGGCAAGAGCATCACGCAGAACGTGTCGGACGGTATGCGCTCGCTCGTCAGCGGCTGCGCCGGCGGCATGGCCATGCTTTGGCTGAGCCCCAAGCTGACGTCAATCCTGCTGCTCATGTTCCCGCCCATCGCCATCGGCGCCTTCATCTACGGCCGCGCCATCCGCAACATCAGCCGACAGATCCAGCGTAACCTGGGCACCCTGACCAAGATTGCCGAGGAGCGGCTGGGCAACATCAAGACGAGCCAGGCCTTCGTCGGCGAGATCCAGGAGGTCCACCGGTACAACGCGCAGATCAAGAAGATCTTTGCGCTTGGCCGGCGCGAGTCCCTCGTGGCCGCCACCTTTTTCGGCTCCACGGGCTGGGCCGGTAACATGACCATTCTCGCTATGCTTGTTGTGGGTGGCAACCAGGTGCGGTCCGGCGCCATGTCTCTCGGAGACCTCACGTCGTTCATGATGTACACAGCCTTTGCTGGATCCAGCCTGTTTGGTGTTTCAGGATTCTACAGTGAACTGATGTAAGTTCTGTTTTCTCATTTATACTCCCGTATTCCGAACATGGATTTGACAACATCGTGGCTACACAGGAAGGGCGTTGGCGCTGCCAGCAGGCTGTTTGAGCTGCAGGACCGAGATCCGACGATCCCGTCCACAGTTGGAACCAAGGTCAAGTCGGCGCAGGGCCCAATCAAGTTCTCCAACGTCAGTTTTGCGTATCCGACGCGCCCCGCGGTCAACATCTTCAACGGGCTGGACTTTGAAATACCGTCTGGCAGCAACGTGTGCGTGGTCGGCCCGTCGGGTGGCGGCAAGTCGACGGTAGCCGGACTCCTTCTGCGCTTCTACAACCCAACGTCAGGCTCTATCACAATCAACGGCGTGGACATCTCCAAGATGAACGCCAAGTCCCTCCGGCGGCGCATCGGCATGGTGGCCCAGGAACCGGTGCTATTCTCGGGCACGATCGCAGAGAACATCTCGTACGGGCGACCCGAGGCGACGCGGGCCGAGATCGTGGCTGCGGCGCAAAAGGCCAACTGCGGCTTCATCGGCGATTTCCCCGAAGGACTAGAGACGCAAGTCGGGGCGCGCGGAGCGCAGCTTTCGGGTGGACAGAAGCAGCGCATCGCCATCGCGCGGGCACTGATCAAAGACCCGGACATCCTGATCCTGGACGAGGCGACGTCGGCCCTGGACGCCGAGTCGGAGACACTGGTCAACTCGGCGCTGGCGCAGCTGCTGCAGGGCCGCAACACGACCATCTCGATCGCGCACCGGCTGTCGACCATCAAGCGGTCAGACCGCATCATTGTGCTCTCGACCGAGGGCAAAGTGGCTGAGACTGGCAGCTACGCCGAGCTTAGCGCTAATAAGGAGAGCGCATTTAGCAAGCTCATGGAGTGGCAGCTGAGCGGCGGCGACGTCATTGAGCCCAGGGCGCCCCGGAGCAGCGGTCATATCACCGAGGCCGAGGAGATTTCGGAGGACCTTGAGGCCGAGGACGAAGATGCGGCCGAGGAGCCGGAAGAGTCGGACAAGAGCAGTCAGAAGAACAAGAACTAGAACTGATGGGATGGAAAGCGTATTGAAAGGAAGGAAGAAAAAGGGGAAATCTCTATTGACTCTTCCTTTTGCGCAAAAGCGATACTCCCTGAGATAGGGAAAGAGATAATGGTGTACTCCTACAAACATATCTACGTCTGTTGACTGTTGTAACTAGATATACGATAGAGGCGGCCCCTGACCGCTTCGGCTACTAGGTTTCCGTCTGGGCTGTAGGGGGCCCGATACAAACGAGGGCACTCTCCACTCACGGCGAGGCGAGGCGACGATGGGTGCTGAAGAGACATATATACGCAAGGAGAAGGTTAGATCAAGACTAACAGGAGGTTGCGCTCTCGACAGCTGTCGGCTGGTTCTCGAGCGACACAAGAACCCGGCGTGAGACCTGCAGGTACCTCAGGTACTCGGATGCCGAGGTATAACGGCTAGGTGGTGGGATAGACCCGGGGAATGTTATCCATTTCCCTGACGCAACCGAGCACTCCCGATATCCCAGCCAGATGGCAACACCGCCCGCACATACAGTTCGTCCCCTCTTTCTCTCTCGCATTTTGACAGTCGGGTCGGCGGGTTGCATGCGAGGGGGGAGGGTGCCACACAGGTGCAGCTTGGCAGCAGCGAACCCGCCAGGCCCGGGGTTGCCCAATCGGGATCGGACTCAAGGGTGCCCTGTGGGAGTGGGCTTATGGAAGGAGGAAGATAATAATAATAAAAAATGGAAAAGAGCAAAAGGATGTTTGAGCCCCCGCCACCCGCCATCCACCCCGCGGGCTAACTCCCACGTGTGGATGGTGCCATTAACCATTTACTAGGCCGATTGACAAGTAGAAACGCTGCATTTCTTTGTCTTGGTGCCATCACATGCGAGCTGAGCTCCTGCGTGGTTCTTCCCTCAATTTTTTTTTTTTCCCTTTTCCTCTCCCACTTCGTGTTGGCGGGTCTTACTTCTTGAACTGGCCTGAGTCATTCTTCGATCCATGATCGGCTCCACGTTCTAGCATCCGATTTGAAGGTCGGGGCGGGACTTTTTCTCGCCGCAATTACCTCATCCCGTCTTGTATGACTGAGCCTGGCCGATTGGGATATCCTTCCTTCTTGTTGTGTCACACCTCTTTTGGGATTGTCCCTGGCAAATTCGTCGCCCTCCATCATTCCTATTTGTTATAGTTGACCCCTTCCCGCCCACCAAGCTCCGATATCGCGACGAAGAAAAATAGAGCCAAAGATCAACAGCAAATAAAAAAAAACATAATTGTCTGTCCCCTACTTTGGCACCTACCAGCCCATCCCCTACGGAAACGGTCCAATTGCCCGTCCGGCGCGCCCGTTCTGCCGCGCACGCAGCGTAAGCATGGCCAAGGCCCTGCTGAAGAACAACGGCGAGAGCGGCTGGGTGGTGCAAAAGTTTGGCGGCACCAGCGTCGGAAAGTTCCCCGAAAAGATCGCCGAGGACATCGTGCGCCCGTACCTGAAGTCCAACAACAAGCTTGTGGTCGTCTGCTCTGCTAGGAGCTCGGGCAAGAAGGCCACCGGTACCACTAGCAGGTGCGTTTTTGTCGTTCTTGCCCCCTTCCGTCAGGGAGAACTGACAACACGGGGCCCGGTCCGACTGACATGCCTCGCCCCAGGCTATTAGAGGTCTTTAGGCGACTCAAGGCGCTCGAGCTCGGTCCCGAGCCGATCCAGAGCGAGCTGATAGACGAGGCCAAGAGGATCATACAGGACATATGCGACGACCACGTCGCCGCCGCCGAGGCGGTCGTGCAGGACGCGGACCTGAGGGCGGCGCTGTGCAAGGAAATCTGGGACGAGTGCAGCGAGCTGGCCGAGTACATTGTGGCGGCCAAGCGCTTCCACCTCGAGGTTAACGGGAGGTCAAAAGACAGAGTCGCGAGCTTCGGCGAGAAGCTGAGCTGCAGGTTCATGGCCTGTGTGCTGAGGGACAGGGTACGTGCCGCCTCGACGCATACGCGCACACACAGACGTTCTTTGCCACATGATATTGGCGTGCTGCTGGCTGACGGCGGATGGTCGGGGGGACCGGTCTTGGGTGTAGAACGTCGACGCCGAATACGTCGACCTCTCCGACATGCTCAACTGCGACGCGACCAAGAGGCTAGACGCCGACTTCTACAGGGAGGCAGCGGCGGCGCTGCGCGGCAAGATCCTGGCGTGCGGCGACCGGGTGCCGGTGGTGACGGGCTTCTTCGGCAACGTGCCGGGCAGCCTGCTGGACGGCGACATCGGGCGCGGGTACACGGACCTGTGCGCGGCGCTGGCGGCTGTCGGGCTGGCGGCGGGCGAGCTGCAGGTGTGGAAGGAGGTGGACGGCATCTTCACGGCGGACCCGTCAAAGGTGCCCACGGCGCGCCTCATCCGCTCCATCACGCCGTCCGAGGCGGCCGAGCTGACGTTTTACGGCTCCGAGGTGATCCACCACCTGACTATGGACCAGGTCGTGCGCGCGGACCCGCCCATCCCGATCCGCATCAAGAACGTCAAGAACCCGCGCGGCGAGGGCACCATCGTCGTGCCCGACCCCGTCTTCACCCCGGGCCAGCAGCTGCGGCGGTCGCGCCCGTCCGAGCTGGCCCTGGCCGCCGCGCGCCGCACCCCGCAGCGGCCCACGGCCGTCACCATCAAGGACAACATCTCGGTCATCAACGTGCACTCCAACAAGCGCTCCATCGCGCACGGCTTCTTCGCCCGCGTCTTCTCAATCCTGGACCAGAACCAGGTCTCGGTCGACCTCATCTCCACGTCCGAGGTGCACGTCTCTATGGCCATCCACGCGGCCAGGGACGAGGCCGGCAACTTTGACCAGGCCCGCGCCCAGCTCGGCGAGTGCGGCGACGTCAGCGTCCTGCACGACATGGCCATCCTGAGCCTCGTCGGCGCCGACATGAAGAACATGCGCGGCATCGCGGGGAGCATGTTCTCGACGCTGGGCGAGCACAATGTCAACATTGAGATGATCTCGCAGGGTGAGTATGAGGGGGGGCGGGTTTCCCGTTGCTGTGGTGTCACTCTGCTTGGCCGAGGGACTGGTCGTTGCTAACATACAGACGCACACAAACAGGGGCGAGCGAAATAAACATCTCGTGCGTCATCGACGCCCGGGAAGCGACGCGGGCCATGAGCATACTGCATACAAATCTCTTCACATTTCTAGAATATTGCTAGACCAAGCGGGCGGGGCATAGGGCAAGGTATAGAAAATATAGAGGCTATGTGAGGCAAAAATGTCAGCTTAATTCTATGGCGTCTAGGTGGGTGAATCGGCTTTTCAGAAAATACTACAGCTTTCGTATTTCCTAGCCATAGTCGGGATGTTGTACACATGGGAGGTGACCAACAGTACGCGTTTCGGCGTTATCTCCGCCGTAGCATGCTGCCCAAACCGGGTGGCGAGAATATTCAGTAAAAATCAAACCAAAAAGAAAAAGCACACGCGCCCGTCTAGATGCTTGTTTGTGGTACGCTAAACTCCATGGCCAAGAGAGGCTAACCCATGCATATCAAGAACAAATCGAAGAGTATAAACAAAAAAAAGCCATGACAGAAAGAAATCATGACATGAGATCCTCCAGGATGCTTTCGAGTTCATCCTTGCGGAAGGGAAGGCACAGCAGCTCAGTGCCGAGCGGGTCCTTGCGGCTGGTGATAATCTGGTGGTCGTGGAATCTGGGGGAGAGGTTAGTGTTAGTTTGGTTTCATGTCTCGGGAAATCAAGACCTTGAAGAAAGACTCACTCTTTCAGCAGCGTCCTAAAGGCCATCTCGGAACTGCAGATGAACTCCTCGGCCGCCTTGTTGTACATGATCCTGTACTCGACGACCGGGCCCTCGGCGGCGCCCGACGCGTCGACTTCCCCATCCCCGTCCGCATCCCCGCCGAACCCGCCACCGTCGCCCTCCTCCATGGCGACGAGGGCCTCGGTGACGAGCAGGCGGAACAGGTTCTTTGCGTTCTCGGGCAGGCTGCGCAGCACAAAGACGACGCCGTCCTTGCCGCCGACGCGGCGGGCGCGGCGGCCGAGCAGCTCGTGCACCTCGTCGACCACGTCGAGCTCGGCGGGGCCGGGGCTCGCAAAGGTGGTGCAATCGTGCAGGGCCAGGTTGAGCAGGGCGCGGGCGCCCGCGTCCCACAGCAGCGCGAAGCCGGGCGTGTCGGCCGAGCAGGCCAGGCGGACCTGGCGGTGGGCGGCCAGCTGGGCCAGGACCGACTGGGCCGTCCCCGCGACGACGCCGCCGGTGCCCGTGGCGGTGTTGACCGTCGAGGTGGTGTTGGCGCCGGCGGTGCCGCCCTTGCGGAGGGCGGGGGCGTCGATCGAGTTGAGCACCACGGTGAGCACGACGGACGGGTTGGCGGCCAGCAGGGCGTGCAGCCCTTGGGCCATGGCGACGGCCGTCGTGGCCGGCAGCTTGTGCGTGGGGTCGACGGCGCGCGCCATGGTGGCCAGCGCCTCCTTGAGGCCGCCGCGCACGTGGCCGTTGACCACGACGATCCTGCTGCCAGCGCGCTCCTGCTTCTCGTCGCTGTCGTCGTCGTCCTCCTCCTTCTCCCTCGCGTGGCGGTACAGCTCGGTCGCAAAGTCGCGCAGCAGGTCGCGCTTGGAGCCGTAGCCGTACAGGCACACGGTGAAGCCCTGCTCGAGCTCAAACTCCCACTGGCGGAACGACTGGGCGTGGATGGAGCGCAGGAGGCGGACGCCGTCGGCGTGCGGGTCCTCGTAGCTCCTCAGCAGGGTGAAGTACTCGTCGTGCGTGAGCAGCTCGAGCGTCGACGAGAGCAGCCGGTTGCTCGACGATGCCTTGCCTGCCGCGCCGGGCTTGTTCTGGAACAGGTACAGCTCGTGCGCCGGCAGGTCGCGCGGCGGCGTCGGCGACCGCTTGCGCCCGCCGCGCGCCCCGCCTCTTGCGCCTCCCCGTCCGCTGCCCCTGGGCCTGCCCGGCCGTCTCTTGGAGGGTGTCTCTGCCACCAGCGCTTCCTCAGCGCTCGCCGGCGCTAGTGCTGCCGCCGTAGTGTTCTTGTCGCCGCCGGCACCGTTCGGCTCGTCGTTGTCGTCGTCGCTCGAGTATATCTCGCGTGCCAGGATCTCGTCGGCGGCGCCGTCCTCGTCGTCGTCGCTGACGCCGTCGCCGACCACGCGGTCGATCAGGGTCCGCGCGACCTTCCTCCGCGCCGACCGGTCCGCCAGGTTCCGCCGGCTGGGCGTGTCCATGCCCATGAGCCTGGTGGTCGTCGGCGTTGCCCACTTTACCCCCGCCCGTGACCTCGACGGCGTGGCGGTCTTCTTGTTGAGGCTGCCCCGTGGCCTACCTGGTTTCCTGCGGCTCGGCGTCATGGCTTCTATTTGCGGTGATGCCTCCTCTTCTGCCGGGTTGCCGCCGTGCGGGTTCACCACTATCCCATTTTCCGCCGGCGGCGGCGGCTCGTCGGTGCTGTCGTCGCCATCGGGGCTCGGATCGTGTGCAGCGCGGTGCCGCTTGGGCAGTTGTGGTGGCTTATTGGGGCTTCCGCTCTCGTCGTCGCCGTTGGGAAGCTCGCGCTTTCGGGCCTGGCGTTTTCCTGGCGAGTCGGCCAATGGGAGGGTGGCAGAAGCCTTTCGGGGAGACATTGTGATCGGGGCGGTGGTGTTGGGATGGTTACAAGGCCATGGCTCGATTCTGTGTGACGGAACGTAAGAAAATAGGTTGATGCGTTTGCTCGCTCGCCTGTGCTTCTGTCAAGTCTCAACGCGATCCGACAACTTTTTTAGCATTGTCAATCGCTGCACTTGTCGGACGCGTCTCGCCAGCGCAACCCTGTCGATCGGCGGGTCCACAAAACTTTGGTACTTGCCGGGTCGCACAGAACTGGGGAGTTCGGCATGCAAGGGTGATGCAAGACCCTGGGAATTTCTCTCGGCTGACTGAGCCGCGTCGACGTCACCTGCGATTGCCTTTGACACAACTCTCACTGCCGTCTTTCAAGATGAATCTCAACCTGTCTGCATCGGTCAACATCTTCAAGCTGATCTTCAATCCCGCGCTGTGTCTGCCGCACGCCACTGTCGGCACCTTCAATGACCTCCCACTGCCGCTAGGCCGCGCCTTCAAGAGAAACGATGGATCCGTCGTCGATATAAAAGCCGTTGTGCTCGACAAGGACGACTGCTTTGCCGTGCCAGAGACCAATGGAGTTTATGTCGACTATAAGGTATTTTTCTCAAACCATATGGATTTAAAAAGACATCACTGACCGTGATCCACCTATTCAGGAAAAGTTCGCTGCCCTCAAAGCAGCCTACCCGGGCCGCCGCCTCCTGATCGTATCAAATACAGCAGGGGCGCTGGGCTACGACCGGGATAGGAGACTAGCCGCGGATCTGGAGAAGGCCACAGGGGTCGTCGTGCTGCCACACAAAGCCAAGAAGCCCGGCTGCGGCGATGAGATCATGACCTACTTCAAGGGTCACCCGGAGACGGGCGTCGTCTCGCCGAGCCAGGTCGCCGTCGTGGGCGACCGGTTATCGACTGACATGATGCTGGCCAACATGATGGGCGGCTGGGGTATCTGGGTCAGAAATGGCGTTGTTCCATTGTCCAAGAAGAGTGTTGTGAGTTTCCACTTTGCTCCTAACCCGGCGTTGTTACAATTTCCCCTTCTCTAACATATTCGTCCAGTTCTCGCGGCTTGAGCACCGGCTCGCCCCTTTTCTCTTGTCAAGAGGCTATTCGGCCACGGAGCCACAAAATCCGTTTGAATAGTGGTGGCAAGAGCGGAAGTCAGTAGCGCTATTCTAGTGCGTTTTATATTCCCGAATAGCCTTCACTGGATTTTACGTTGTAGCGAGGAGTTTCAGGCGTTAGGCAACCGGAAGGTGACCAAATTCATCCCGAGAGGAAAAGTTGTGCCCTATCCCTCAGCGGATATGTGTGGATACGCCCGGTGTGATGCGAAAACATGGAGGTGAGACGGGCCATGAAGCGAAGGCAAATGATGTACGCCGAGATTAGCCAAACAAAGATGAAGGAAATTCAAAATATGCTCAAAGGGATTAGATACGCTATACAGCAGACAATATCTAACAGGGATGGGGGAAGGTACATTCTTCAGGGGATCGTATAATCCCCCACACAATGCGCTGGCGTCGACCGAAAGCCATGCTACAACACCGGCACCCTGATACCACGATCGTGTATCGCCACACATACAACATCAACGAGCTTCTGCTCGGGGCTAACGAGTCTCAGAAAAGCTGAGGTGATATCCCATGGTGTCTTCAATCCGACGGGCGATGGCTATGCTGACTAATCAGGGGTGCTCAATCCATAAGGTGCCCCCAACCACGTCTACAACACATCGAAGGCCATTAGATAAATACACGGGAATTGATATAGCAGCAACATCAACAGCAACAGCAACATCAAAATGGCGAAGCGCAAGCTGGAAATCCCCGTCTTCTCCCCCTCGGCAGCCAGCGAGGCGGCAAATCTGGGCGCGCACCGTATCGAGCTCAACGCGGCCGGCTCATACCCCGCCGGCGGCCTGACGCCCAGCCTCGCCGAGCTGTCCGACCTGCTGCACCAGCTCCAACAGCCGTCGCAGTCGGCAGCGACAGCCACCAGCGACGGAGCCGCATTGCCGCCGCCGTCGCCGCGGATCCCCGTCCGCGTCATGATCCGCCCCCGCGGCGCCCCGCCACCACCACCACCCACAGCAACGGCAGACCAGCCGCCGCCGCCCGACTTCATCTACACGGACGCGGAACTCGCGGCGATGCGGGACGCCATCCGGGCGTTTGTCGCCTCGGGCCTGCTGGACGCGTCGCGCGGCGACGGCTTTGTGTTGGGCGTGCTGCGGCGGCGGCGGCGGGACGACGACGACGATGACGGGGGCGGCCGGCTCGCCGTCGACGTGCCGCGCAACAGCGACCTCGTGGCGCTGGCGCGGCCGTTTCCGTGCGTCTTCCACCGCGCCTTTGACGACGTGCTCGCGGGGGGCGGCGATGGCGACGGGGCGGTGGAGGGCGGCAGCCTTGACGACGTGGTCGCGTGCGGGTTCGTGGGCGTGCTGACGTCGGGCGGGCCGGGGAGCGCGGCCGGCGATGGGAACGTGCGGGCGCTGCGGCGGGTTGTGGCGCTGGCGGCCGGGCGGGTTGAGGTGGTTGTGGGTGGCGGGGTGAGGAGCGGGAACGTCGGGGCGCTGGCGGCTGCCATTGATGATGCGCGTGGGGATGTGAGCGGCGAGAGGTGGTTTCACTCGTCGTGCCTGACGGGTGGAGGGGGTGGGGAGTCGGGTATTGACAGAGACGAGGCGGCCAAGTTGCTCAACTCGTTGGCCGTGTTGGATGGGTGATTTTATAGGGGCTTTGCTTCAAAGAAACACACGGGGGTTTATAGAGGAAATTAGACAGCAGACAAAAGTTACCGATACCATCATGAGCACATGTTTAATAGTATAGCTTCATCACATATATTAAATATCGTCCGTCTACACATGGTCTCGTAAAATACTGCCCGACAGACAATTCTGATCTCTATACACACGAGCATTACCACCAATCTCAACCACCACCCGAGCCCCCAAGCTTAGTGCTTGGAGGTGGCGCAGCGGGTCTTGTTGGTGGGCTGACCCAGACCCAGGCACTCGGCAATCTTGTAAAAGACGTCGATGTTGCCGTAGGTGCCGCCAAAGATCTCCTGGCAGGGGCCCATGGCGTAGACGGGCACGTCGGTCAGGGAGTGGACGCCCTGGGCCTCGCTGGTGGGCAGGGTGCCGTTGACGACGAAGCCGGTGGGGCTGTCGCGCGGGTTGGCGTACAGGTCGTTGGTCGGCAGACCGGAGGCGTTGACGGCCGGCACGCGCGGCGACGGGCTCACCTTGTAGCTCTCGCGGTGGTCGGGCGCGGCGCCGAAGCCCGAGGCGATGACGTAGCGCGGCGACCAGTTGAGCGGGAAGTTGGGCCCCGTGTTGTAGCTCACGCCGGGCGCCTCGACCTGGTACAGCGACTTGCCCGACTTCTCGTAGACGCCGACCGCCGAGCGCTTCTCACGGTCCGTCTTCTTGGACTCCATGTACTTGGTGTCTGCGCTGCCGAAAACCTGTGGGTCGAGATGAGAGTTTGTTAGCATGCTGTATATAACAAGAGGGTATTTGGGCTGTAACCTACATCGAAGCCGTGTCCGTGATCGGCAGAAACGACAATCAGAGTGTCCTTCAGGATGTCGAGCTCCTCCAGCTTTTTGACGGTAGCCCGGACAGTGTCGTCAAGCTCGAGCAGGTCACCCAGAGCGCGGTCGTAGTCAAGCGCGTGCATCTGCTTGTCGATAGATGCGGCCTCGCTCATCAGGAAGAAGCCCTTGTCACCACCACGGGTGTGCAGCACATCAATGGCCTTGAGCGTCATCTCCTTGAGACCGGGCAGGTCCGTAGCGGCGGTACTAGCCCCACGGGGGTCGTTCTTGAGGTTGGCGATGTTCTCGGTGAAGATGTTGCGGTCCAGCCAGACGGGCAGGTTGGAGCGGCAGAAGATACCCAGGGTCTTGGCGTCCTTGGGTGTCTCGGCCAGCGACGTCTTGTTGTGGGTGATTGTGTAGCCCTTGTTGGCGAACTCGGCGTAGTAGTCCTTGCCTTGGTACGAGCCGGAGCCGGGGAGGAATTGCTCGGCACCGCCGCCGAGGTAGACGTCGGGGCCACCGTGGTTCGGCCACGAGTAGTTGGTCACGCCGTTGAGTGCCTGGTCAATGAGGGGGCCGTACGCGCCGCGAGACCGAGTGTGGGCAGTCAAGGCGATCGGGGTGGCATCGGCAACGAAGGCGGTCGACACGGCGCCCCAGGCGGAGCCCCAGATGCGTTTCAAGAGCTCGACGATGGTCTCGACCTTGGGGTCGTCAAAGACGTCGGGCGAGCTGTCGGCGTAGACGCCCATGGCGTTGACAGTGGACTTGTGGCCGCTGTAGAGGGCGCTCGCCGAGTTGGCAGAGTCGGTGATGTACGTGTCGATGGAGTGGGTCATCTGGTGGCCGAGCACGGGGAACTTGTCGAGCTGCAGCAGGCTCTGGTATTTGCCATTGATGCTCTTGTGGCCGAGCAGGCGGGCGGCCGTGATCATGTTGGTGGTCATGCCGTCGCCGATGAAGAAGATGACGTTCTTGGCCCTCTTCTCGACAGCCAGCGGGCGCACCGTCCAGGTGGCGGTGGTGACCCTGCCGCTGTAGTACTTGAGCGTCACATTGTAGACGCCGGGCTCGTAGATGGCCACGCGCCGGTAAGCCTTGGAGGCGACGTTGACGACGGACGGGGTCTTGGCTTCCTGGGCAAAAAGATCCTCAAACCATTTGAACGTCCACTTCTCCAGCGCGGGCTCCGAAGTGCGGTTGAAGTACTGCGCGATGCTCTTGCTGCCGCCTCCGCCCTGCTTCTCTATCTCGACGGTGAAGGCCTCGTCGGGCACGCCGCCGTTGAAGGCCTCGGAGCCGTTGACGGGTGCATGTACCTCGAAGCGGATGTCAAACTGCTGGCCCGGCAGGAAGTCACTCTGGTCGGGAGGCAGAATGCAGCCCAGGTCAGGGCATGTGCCGAGGCGCTGGAAGGTCTGGCCAGAAGCCGAGGGCAGCAGCAGCAACGCCGCCGCCGCCACCGCGGTAATGCTTGTGGGGGACCGCATCTTCTTCCTTTGCTTGTCGTTCACTCAAGACTCACGTTGCGGTGAGCCGGGCGAAGGTTGGAGGCAAAAAGAAGGGGGAGGAGAGGGAGGGGCAGAGGGCAGAGAGCTAGCGTGCGGCCATCGGATGTGTATCCCACAAACGATCGTCCCTCGCAGCCTTCTTATAATTGACAAGCTACAGGGTCACAGCTGGAAGGCTGGGCTGCAGGCCTACCGCTTCGACCAGCGCGGCAAGCTGCAGAGACAATAATCTAAGCGAGGGATCCATCCCCCCACGAGGCAGAAGGCATGATGGGACGATCCATGACGTCCCGGAGCTGGGAGCTATGCTGGAGCTGTTGACCGAAGGGTGGGATGGATGGGCACTGCTGCAGGCCCCATTGGCTGCCGGCGGCTCGGAACCCCGACGCGTCTTTGGCGCATGCTAGGCCGAGATGCAACGGACGGCGAGGCCGGGCAGGAGTCGTGGAGCCGTCGAGCCAAGGTAGCATCGAGAACCCATTCACAGAAGACACGCCACGCACGTGTCCGCCAGGCACCAGCCGCCATGGCTGAGAAGAAGAAAAAAAAAGGCCCAGCGCCCAGCGCCCAGCTTCTTGTAGTCTCCGCTTGGTCAGGTTGTTGGGGGTCGGGTCGATGGTGAAAGAGGAGCAGACTCCGGGCCAGGCGAGGCACCTCAGGGGCCCAGGCGGGGTCTGGAGACTTTCTGCTATCCAGATCGGGGAGGAGGAAAGAAGGCAAGCAGGGGATGGGCCTGCCATGCATGTTGGCTTGCGGTGGTGGCCAGCAATAAAGCGGCCGTCTTCGGGTGGGCGAGTATATGAGTTGGGATGCAGTGTCTTGGCTCCGATTGGGGAAGGCAGGAACGTGGTGGGATGGCGGCGTCTGATTGGCTGTGGCTGCGCGATCGAAGCCTATTTTGTAGCTCCTGCCGTTCGGTTCGCATCCCACAGCAGCACGCAACGCAGCATCACCCCTGGCCGAGCCGACAACCAACCTTGAGGCCGGCGTTATACCGGGGAACTCGCAGCAGCCGAGGGCACCACCTCAATCCCAATCTGCGTGAGGAAATTTGGGAAATTTGTCTGATGTGCGAGAAAGAAAATGTGACATTATCAGCTCAGCTTGTGTGGGGCAGCCAATGAATGGTGTGTCGACTTTGCACACAGCAAGTTTGGAGTTTGGAGCACATGGCAGCCCCTGGAAAAATCCCCCAGAAGGATATGACTGAATTATCCTCGCATCAAAATGGGATTCCGTGATAGCCTCATTCGCGCACGGCGTCTGCTGTCTCCCTCGATTGACGTCATGAAGCAGCTGGAGGGGCCCTGCAATTTCGCTTTCGCAAGCACGTAGAATTTCACCGCCCTGCCGTGCAGCTTGTGACCAATCATGAAACCCGATGCTACATGTGCTCGGTCTCCTGGGCGGGCGCAATGCTGGTGAGGGGTTGACTCAGGATACGCGGCCAGCTTGCGTTGAGGTTTTAGCACCACCTACCTGCCATCAACAATCAACAACCCACACACTACTTGCTTGCCATTTGTTCTTTCTAGTAATCGCGACAGCAACCAAGACACTGCGTACCTTTCTGAATTTCAGATATCGCCACCCACCTGTTCACCACAATGACGACGGCGCCACCGGGAGAAGAGGCCACGGAGCTGAGCAAGCAATATGAGACCCCCATGGGCTTGGGTCACACCACCATGCAGGCGCTCAAGGACAGGGTCAAGCTGCACTACGACCTCGCCAGCGACTACTATCTCAGCCTGTGGGGAGAGCACATCCACCATGGCTACTGGCCGACCGAGGAGAGCAAGACCACCGACTCCAAGGAGGTGGCGCAGGTCAACCTGATCAAGCTGCTGCTCGACATATCGAGCGTCGCCCCGGGCTCGCAGGTGCTAGATGTCGGCTGCGGCATGGGCGGCACCGCGCGCTACCTCGCCTCGCAGCACGGCTGCACCGTGACGGGCATCACCATCTCGGATAAGCAGGTCGAGATTGCTAACCGCCTGACCGCCGCCGCCGCCGAGGCCGAGCGGACTAAGGAGGGCACTGCTGCCGGTGCGCCCGTCGCGCCTGATGCCGACGGCTTCTACGCGCTTGGCAAGGGCAAAGTCCGCTTCATGGAGCTGGACGCCGAGAAGATGGGTGGCCGCTTCCCCGGCGACTTTGACGCCGTCTGGATCAGTGAGGCCCTGACCCACTTCCCCGACAAGCCGCTCTTCTTCCGCAACGCCCTCGCCGTTCTCAAGCCGGGCGGCCGCGTGGTCCTCAACGACTGGTTCAAGGCGGAGAAGCTCGATACCCAGGGTTTTGAGAACGAAATCAAGCCCATAGAAGGTGACTGACTACAGCCGTCTTGTTGCTGCTTTTTGATGTGGCCACACCCCCAAAGACTGACAAATTCCTTTTGCCCATCATAGATGGCATGCTGCTCCCGCCTCTCATGACTCAGCGCGAGCACGTCGAGATGGCAACAGCAGCCGGGCTGAGTGTCTTGGCCGCTCCCAAGGACATCAGCAAGGAAGTGAGCAAGACTTGGTATGTTTTTTCTGTTGCCTGACAAAGCGCCAACATACGTCCTTTTTTCGCCCGAAGGCTGACGGTGAACGCTTGCTGTTTCAGGGATATCACCTGGTCGCTGATCCAGAAACCCTCGCTTTGGGCCTTTGCCCTGAGCCAGGGTCGCGACGGCATTGCGTTCCTGCAATCGTTCCGCGCCATGAGGCGAGGCTACGCGAACGGAAACTTCACATACGCCGTCATGGCGTTCCAGAAGCCGAACTAGAGAGTACACTTGGACCATGTGAGAGAGTAGATATCCATGGGAGGTGTGCATACCCTGCGAGATCGTAGCTTTTGGTCTGTTCCCTAGACATTTTTTAGCTGCTATTGCCGGTGTCGGGTGTCACAATCACATAGACATGTGCTCACCTTGTTCTGCTGCCTTGCCTAACCTGCAATAGAGTTGCGGCTGCCGAGAGGAAAGCCGTAGATTTGCGCTGCCTCGACGCCATTTACGGGATGCGGTCACAAGAATACATGCAACATGGGTCAGAGGAGGATCCGCCACCGACGGCGTGTTGAGACATGTAGCCGCGGTCGTTGAAGGCCTCCAACTCCGGGGTTTGTAAGACAGCCCAGCGCAGTAGGACGTCAAAGAAGCTTCAGCGTGGGATTGCGGCACGTACTTGCCTTTCTCGCCTTGTCTGGTTGATCAAGTGCCGTCAAGGCAATCGCTGGGCCGCTAACCAAATCGTGTTCCGCACTGCCTGCTGCCGTCTGACGCCCACAGCACCACCTCGCCCACCACGGACCGGGGCCAATCAGGCGCGGCCGCAACGCTCTCCCGCCCGTCTGCCGAGTGGGCTGCTGGAAGGGTTGCTGGAAGGGCTCAGCTCCGTCGCGGCCGTGCCGCTTCCCAACTTTTTTCCATGTCAGCTGCCGTTTGTCTGCCTAGTCCGTATGCGTGTCTCACCCACTTCTCTGCCTCTCCCATAGGCCTCACCACCACAATCCTCCTCGAGCCCTTCCAGCTGCCGGGGCTGTGTCTCGCCGGGAAGTCACGTACACGGTACCGCCCGTCGAGCCGTCGAGGCCGAGGATCCTCGATTAAAAAAAATGAGGTCGAAAGAAGGTTAGTTGGGGAATCCCACCGGCGATCCCCCGACAACATCATCATCCTCCTCCTCCTCCTCACCGCCACCACCACCACCACCACCACCACCGCGTGGGTTTCTGAGGGATCGCGAACTAGGCAGATTTTGCGGTGAGTTTTGCTTAATTGCGCCTGAAACGGAAATAGACTGAGCGCCGGTATCGTCTATGGCTGTTGGTAGCAGGTGGCCACGGATTGACTGCAATACACGTCCAGGTAGGGCTGAGCTGTGCTCGATTGAGCCCCGGCTGTTGTGGCGGAGGCGCAGCAAACCCCAGCTACTACAGGGAGTTGTCGGCTGTTGAGTTGGGGCATTTTCTGCCTTGGCGTCAGTGTTGCTGCAGCTTGTCGCTTCCATGCAGGAAATGCCCCCGATTTCTCTATCCCTTTTTCGCGCTGTTGGCTCTGTTTTCCCTGCCTGCCTATTTCCCAGATCAGATCCCAACGGCGTGGGAAGCATGGAGACGCAAGCAAGGGTCTGTCCTCATCCCTTCTCCTGATTTGCTCACTTTATTTAGAAACCGAACCCAAATGAGCACGCGGCCGACGCCAACGCCAACGCTAACGCCCTAACCTGCTCCCCCAGCCTCATCACCCGGCATGCGACTAGCACCAGCTTCTCGGCAGCACAGCAAGTACAGCAACACGTTGCGCAGCTAGCCTGGACGCCCCATCAGCCCCACGGCCTAAATGCCTCCCACTCTAGTCTGGTCGAGGCAACGTTATTGTCGTGGGACGGCTAGGCTCGTCCTACTGCCTACCTACTTACTCGGAGCTGAACAAAAAGAGCCCCCAAGAAAAGACGCAGCCTCGGAATCCCATCGGGCAATTTTCGGAGCCTGGGGGAATGGCCGCATAATGGCCGCTCCGTCCGTCAGCCTCTCCCCTCCAAGGTCTCTCCACATGTCATCCGCTAAATTCTGGGAGCTTGGTTCCTTTCTAGCTGAGCGTCAGAAAAATCTGACGTCTTCCCTCTGCTTGGCCCGATGTAGCGTACCTGCTTGCGGGGGGGCACCTTTTACCCAAACAAGTGTATGTGGTAATCTCCCACCATCTAGGTTGCCTCCTCTGGACGCCGCAGTACGCCGTCCTTACATCCGCTAAGCGGAATCGGGTGATATGCAAGAGAGAGAGAGAGGGAAGAGGGGAACTGTACGCAGCGTTGCAACCCGGTACCGACCCGGCAGGAGCTGAAGTCGGCCAGCCAGGTACCAAATTCCCATTTGATCCATGGCTTTGCTTGCCCGCAGTCCGCGTTTACATGCGCACCCTGATCTGGGCACTTTTGCTCCCGCCTGCCTACCTGACTGCCTGCATATCCTCCCTATTACCAACCTGCATGGAGCACTGCCCGGTGTCGAGGCAAGCATCAGCCCATCCCCC